GAGTAAACTGACCATATACGCCAGTGTTTCCCAAACTTGGGTCTCCAGCTGTTTTTGGACTACAACTCCTATCATCCCTAGCTAGCAGTGGACAGGGATGATGGGAACTGTAGTCGAAAAACAGCTGGAGACCCAAGTTTGGGAAAGACTGATATAGGCTGTGTGGGATGAAGCACCACCACTCAGTTGACAGCTTCAATAATCCCTTTAATAGAGCTACTTTGGGATACAGATGGCTGTAGTTAAACAGTTGCATTAGGTACACAACACCTCTAGGCAAAAAAAAAAAAAAAAAGCAGTAGCTCCTACATAACTGCATGTGATGGGTGAAAGAAATCTGGGGGGGGGGGACACAATTCCGTGGTAAGAATAGCTGGAACAAAAGAGTAATTTGGGGATGGGGCACCTCCAGCCTACAGACCAAGTATGGACCTCCAGAACTGCCCCCCCAAGGCAATTTTCCTGAAATTGTGCCCACCTGCCCCAATGTCCTGGCCATGGGAACTGGCTGACACAACCAAATCTGGTAGAAAGCAGAATGCTTGTACATCAGCCGATGTTTGGGGAGTTCAATCCTGCTTGGGCAGTATATGTGTGTGTGTGTCCTCAACTCTAGTGGGCCCACTTTGACAGGTGGGTGGGACAACCCACCTGCCAATCATTAAACATCAATAGGACATGTTCCATTGAAAGAAGAAGTAGTAGTAGACAGATTCCGCTGTGGGGAAAACTTTTCATGCACTACAAATAATTTCCCAACATTTGCATCAGGTTAACGTTTAATTCAAAATCTGCATCGATAAACGACATGATTCATGCAACTTTCAATATGAGAGTTTCAGCCTTTTTTTAAAAAAAAAAGGATGCCTTGGAGGTGGACAGTGATCGATGTTCCCAAATTGCACTTTCACATATGAAAATATTTCACTGCTCAAGACTACATAATGACAAAAAGAGCTGGGGACTAAGCTCATGGGTGGCATTTTACTTTGGAAAAATCACTCCCTTCAAGTTGCAAACTGTGACCCTCTCCCCTTCACCAGGGTCACTTTAAATATCAAGTTTTCCATTTTAATTTAATGCTTAATATTTTTGGGTTGCTACACACTGTTATTTGATTCCAGGTTTCTAAGACTTCTGGACACTATGATTAATTTTACTCAAGTAAGATTGTGGGAAGGAGAGGGGGAAACTAGAATCCAATTCAGTATGTGAACACTGGAGGCTCTATCAAAGCACAGAGATTGCATGCTGATATTTGTAGCCCAAATGCTTAGAATTTGCTTCTTTATCCCTGAATCAAAACAAAAGCTGAGCAATCTAACCAAAGAAGTTAGTCAGAATTCTCCCATTTCCATGTTCCACTCCTACACCATAACTGAAGTCTGGCTTGCAAAGAGCAATTTTGTCTGCTTGCAACCGGGGAGAGAGCTTCTGTGAAATGGAAGGCATAATGAGGCAGTTCCACTCCAGTTGCATTTTCAAAAGCATGCTTTTTTTAAAAAAAAAAAGAATTCTCCTAAGCATAAAACTAGCACACTATGGAGAAACCTCTCTCTGAAGAAATACCATGGAGCAGCAGCACAACTGAGCACCTTCACCTGCCCCAGCTGCAACAAAACATGTCTCTCCCTGTCTCCCATATCAGACTCTACAGCCACAGCAGGCGCTACAACCTTCCAACAGTTTGACTTTACCCCCCAAAGGTGCACTCTTCCATAGTCTCCAGAGACAGATGGATGCCGACAACGATTTTTTAACGGAGAAACCTGAGAGGTAAACTTGGCTCAGGGTTGGTGCCAGGCTTGAGCAAGCTCTTAGGCAAAAGTGCTGCCTTTGAGGGTCGCTCACAGAGTTTTCACCACAGAATGATGTCAGTTTGGGGGGGCCCTGGCACCAGCAAACCCACAAAGCTAGTAAGTTAGTCCCCCGTAACTGCTTACTCTGCCAATGTCATGCATCACATGATTGGAAATGGAGGCCATATGGCACGAACTCAACTAGCTTTCTACTTGCAGGGCGTTGTTGTTTTTAAACTTAAGTTAATATTTTGGAGGACGCGGGTGGCGCTGTGGGTTAAACCACAGAGCCTCGGACTTGCTGATCAGATGGTCGGCAGTTCAAATCCCCGCGATGGGGTGAGCTCCCGTTGCTCGGTCCCTGCACCTACCAACCTAGCAGTTCAAAAGCATGCCAGTGTAAGTAGATAAATAGGTACCGCTCCGGCGGGAAGGTAAACGGCGTTTCTGTGTGCTGCTCTGGTTCGCCAGAAGCGGCTTAGTCATGCTGGCCACATGACCTGGAAGCTGTACGCCGGCTCCCTTGGCCAATAAAGCGAGATGAGCGCCGCAACCCCAGAGTCGGCCACGACTGGACCTAATGGTCAGGGGTTCCTTTACCTTTACCTTTAATATTTTGGCGTGGTGCAATTTGAACTTTTTCTTTTGCTGTATACGTAAAACCAGGCCAAAAAAATTCTGTGTGAGGGGCAGCCCAAGTGGTGCCCCCCTCAAACAATTACCCTAGCTAATTCTGCCAAATCCTAGGCACACATCTACTTGGAAGACAGTTGTGCTGAGTTCAAAAGGAGCTACTCCCAGGTAAACGTGCACAAAACTGCAACCGAACCTACTTCTGAATAGTAAGTCCCGCTGAGATACCGCTTTGTGTGTGGGGCCTCCCAAAAGGCATTGTCACAGCTGACACAATTCTACAAAGAGAACTGCATGTGCAGGGTTTTTCCTTTGTGCACAGGACTCAACCCTGTAGGCAGGCCATTGCATTCTAAAGTCACAAGCGGAACATCCTTACTGAAATCAGAGCTATGCTATTCAGTTTAACAGATGCACGGTTATTTGCTCATGTGGGGAAAACCGGGCAGCTCAAAATGTGTAGATATTTTTTACTATATCTGTTTGGTAAATGTTTCTCTTCTAGGTAAAGAAGGGAGGGGGAAAGGAATCCATATGCTAATCTTTCTTATTCTTCCCGACCTCTGCTGCCAAGCTGCCTCACAATCACCTGCAGGGCAAACAGAAGCAAGACTCTCTGGATCGGATTTCATAAACAGCCTCTCCTACAACAGAGGATTCTACCACATAGAAAACAATTCTGAATTCCTTGTTCCAGCTACACTCCAAGCACTTGCATCTCTGACTGTTCTCACCCCATTCTGTTGAAAGTCAAATCGGTGTATTCAGATTTTTGCTGTTTTTAAAGTATCACACATTACATTCTCTCTCCTCCCCTCAACCAAGAACATTGACATTTGCATCAGAGGCTATGTCCTCCAAACATCACAGAGACACTACAAAGGACTGAGTTCAATTACGTTGCCTCTTAAACGATACAAATCAAGTTTAGCCAGAACGCTTCACTCCACCCTCAAACCTCCCAAACTATGCCAGTGAACGCTTAAAGGCAAAAGTTGAGGTTGGCACTTTTATGAACTAGAAGATGGCCAGCAAATTATAACTTGAACATAAAGACTCTGGCAGAGAGAGAGAGATGGGGCTTTAATACTTCCAAAACTATGGCAATGGGCCATTAGCAATATTCTCCCCATTATTTATTGCCCAACATTACCCAACGAAAGTTGCAGTTATCCAGAAAAAAGAATACAAGCATCTACTTATCCCACGCAGGAGCGACCAGACATTTTTTTCTCCAACATTGCCAGCTGCCACAATCCCACCTCCCGGTTTCCAGCCAGGAATCTACACTACTAATAGCAACACCAAACATCATTTTGAAATAGGTCAGCTGGGTACCGGTTTATTTATTTTTTTGGAGGGTGGTAAGAGAACCACAGTGGGAGCCTGGTGGGTGTGAATTTAAGGGAAGAAAACTGCATCCCAAACTCATCATGCTGCTTCAAATATAGTGAGGTGGATAGCCCCCCCCCCAATTTAGCCATGGGATTTCTCAAATATTCCTAAGGAAGGAAGAGGAAGGAGCAGCAGCAGCAGCACTAATAAAAAGCCTTTCCCCTGAAGCCCTAATCTGAAGTGATTAGGAACAACCATTTTAAAAATGTATACCTGGATTCATCTCCCATCCCCTAATTTGGCAGTAACTAGAGGTAATTACTCTGGTTCACTCAAACTCCCCTTTACTGCTCCACAGACCATTCCCATCCTTTGCCTACTCAGCAGATTTCACTCACAGTCAGCCCAGCTACCATTTTAAAGGCATGCAATCCAGAGAAAACTGAAAGCATACTAAATCCGTACACATTTTACAAAAAAGACCCGTTGTGTCAGCATCAGTATATATACTTTCCTTTATAATGAAGGGGCTGTTGAGGAAACCACTGCAGGAGGGGATATCAATGATCAGGTTTAATAAAATCAGAGAATTCCAACTGCTTCCCTCACAAGGAATTTTTTTTAAAATGCACCATTACATTTAAATACCAGGAGGTTCCTGTTTCACAACCTTTCAGAGAGAGGTAAACTTTTTTAAAAAAAACAAAAACAAAAAAACTGTCTTTGATTTTTAACAAGGGCTGGTGAGCTTTGCGTTCTTTTTTAAACCCAAATACATTTCAACCCGATTCGAAACAAATTAAAAATTAAATAAAATTCTGAAGAGCACAAACTTTTGAGAAGGGGAGGAGAGAGAGAGAGAGAGAGAGAGAGAGAGAAAACCGGCGAAGAACGAGCAGCAATGAAAAGGGGAAACACTCCGACAACAGGGAGGGAGGGAGGCTGGGAAACAGACATAAATCTTGTTTTGTTTTGTTTTTGGTAGATGGCTAAAAATATATATATATAATCCTTACCTTGACTGGGCAGCCATAGTGAAGTTTAGCAAGCCGACCGTCTCCTGGCCATCGGAAGGCTTTCTTCGCCCTTGCCCTACCCTCCGCCACCCAAAAACTTCCTGTCCATTTGCTGCTGCGCTCTGCGCCCCTGGCTCAGAGAAGTCCCACTTTTACGCGCCCCCTTCCTTTCTCCCCAAAGACTGCTGCTTCCTCGGCTGTAACGCCTCCCTCTCCCTCCCTCTGCTAGCTCAGTCCGACACTAATTTGGATAGACATCCGGGCACCCGGGGGCCTCCTCCAGTCCGGCTCGACACATTGCAAGCCAGCTGAGAAGAGGGGAAGGGGGAGGCGGCGGAGCTCGCGGGCTCTGCTGCTGCTGCTGTTGCTCCACAGGTAAGCGAGCCAAGCCCGGGACTGGCTGGCTGGGCTTGCTTACAGAATGGCCATTTGGAGCTCCGGACCGTTCCGGCCTCTGAGCCGACCCATTATGGGGCGCTGGAGTGAGGGGGAAACTCGGCGAAAGCAGCGCGCGCTTCTGGCTGCGCTTTTTTTCCCAACGAAGGAAGGGGATTGTTTTGGAGAGCCGGTTCTGAAACGATTCGCACCTATAGCCTCGCCCCCGCCCCCCCCGGCGAAAAGTTCGCATGGTACGCTCCGCCTTCCCTTAAATGGACATGTTGTTTTGTCAAGGGCGACGGAACGGGGAGGGTTGGCTCCGGGAGGAATGGACAAGCCCGGCTGCGGCGAGCCTATCAGAAGGGGAAAGGCGCGCGGCGCTAGCGCACACGCGGACGCTCCGCCTCGGAGGGGGAACGGCTGCTGAGCGCTGCCAAAATACAAATTATTCACACACACACACACACACACACACCCTCACAATGTACAAGCACGCACCAGGCGGGACACGGAGTTCCCTCCTGCCTGGCACTGCTGGCCTCCGCGCAATGCGGGGCGCGCGCGGATAAGAGGCAGCCGCCGCCGCCGGGTGGAAAGATACTGGCAACTTTTGCTGGTGCGGTGGGCACAAGGGGATCACCCTCGGGCGCTGCTCCGATGCAGAATCACAGAATTATAGAGTTGGAAGGGACCCAAGGGTCATCTAGTCTAACCCCCAGGAACGCAGGAATCTCAGCTAAAGCATCCATGACAGATGGCCATCCAACCTTTGCTTGAAAAGCTCCAAGGAGAGTCCACAACCTCCTGAGGGAGACCGTTCCTCTGCCAAACAGCTCTCACTGTCAAAAGTATTTCCTGATGTTTAGTCGAAATCTCTTTTCTTGTGACTTGAAGCCATTGGTTCAAGTCCTGCCTTCCAGAGCAGGAGAAAACAAGCTTCCTCCATCTTCCATGTGACAGCCCCTGGGATATTGGAAGACGGTCATAATATCTCCTCTTTTCCAGGCTAAACATACCCAGCTCCTTCAACCATTCTTCATAAGGCTTGGTTTCCATAACCTTGATCATCTTGGTTGCCCTCCTCTGCACACATTCCAGCTTGTCAACATCCTTCTTAAATTGTGGTGCCCAGAATTGGACACAGTATTCAGGTGTGGTCTGACCAAGGCAGAATAGAGTGGTGCTATTACTTCCCTTGAAGTACACTATACGTCTTTTGATGCAGCCTAGAATAGCGTTAGCTTTTTTTTGCTGCTGCATCACACTGCTGACTCACATATTGGGCACCCAGTGTTTCCTCACTTCCGGAATCATACTTTACCCAGGATTAGCGGATCTTTTGGTGGGTAGAAAGAGGGGCTTGCAACAGTTAAATAGCTTGCACTCTGTGCAAATAAAAAACCAGAAGCAGAGGTATGTTCTGTTCCTTGATCCCTGCTTCTGTGTTCCAAGGAACAACATATTCAGCATGCACCAATGGTTCTTTATCCCACTTTACAAAACAGAAATGTAACTCAACTCAACACAAAATGCTCTTGATGAATACCAGGTTTTTGGGTAGGTAAAGGGACCCCTGACCATTAGGTCCAGTCGCGGACGACTCTGGTATTGCAGCACTCATGTCGCTTTACTGGACAAGGGATCCAGCGTAGAGCTTCCGGGTCATGTGGCCAGCATGACTAAGCCACTTCTGGCGAACCAGAGCAGCACATGGAAATGCCGTTTACCTTCCCGCCGGAGCGGTACCTATTTATCTACTTGCACTTTGACGTGCTTTCGAATTGCTAGGTTGGCAGGAGCAGGGACCGAGCCACGGGAGTTCACCCCGTCGTGGGGATTTGAACCGCCGACCTTCTGATCGGCAAGCCCTAGGCTCTGTGGTTTAACCCACAGCACCACCCAGGTCCCTAGGTTTTTTGTTATGTTACCCCCAAAAATGTACTGATATTCAGGGGTGCAAGAGTGCTGCTACATGTTTCTAGTCCTTATAGGCATAAAGACAATTTGAACTGAAATGGGGAATGCCTACTGAAAATTTAAAAGCCAAAGGTGGTGGTGGGTGAACTAATAACCTCTTGCCCCTCCACAGGACAAGTAAATATTAAAATATCTCTCTGCATCCTAGGAAGAAAATTGCAGTAAGAGTGGGAAGCTCCTCCTGGGCATCGGCCAAAGGTGAAGAAGCTACAGGGTGCTGGACTTTTTCCTGACAGAAAAAAACACTTATAAGAAACATTGAACTGAGAACTACTTTGCTGTTTTTCATCATCCCTTCCAACTGTTTTTCCTTTTGTGTCGTGGGTTGTACACTGTTAAGTCTAAGAGGGGAAACTGTCTTATTCTTGATTGTTGTAAGATGCTCTGAGAGCCTTTTCTTTTTGGTTAATTAAATTATACAAAACAACTAAATTACAAAGGGAAATCATGCAAATTAGTTCGGTGAGCATAATTGATGACTGGTTGCAGAATTCATTTATTGAAGCACATAGTTGTTGTTTTTTGAGAGTATATGCATACCCCTTGCCAAACAATACAAATGCACAGAGAAGTCACAATGGAAATTATGTTTTGCACATTAGGAAGCAGGTTGTGATGTTTTAAACTGTGGGGGATTTTAGAGACCTGTAACTCATCTTTTTGAAGCAGGGAACGGGGCTTGTGATGGCTTCATATTAAAGCTATTTTGAAAGAATATATGTGCTGAGCTGGTGGAGCAGCCCAAGGGATTTTGTACGCGTTCAGTTCCCAATATATTTTCCAATGAGGAAATGTTTCTCACACACGGCTTTTCTTACAACCAGAAACAGACTTAGGTATCAATTCTGCATAAATGGCCAAAAGAGAAAATGATATTTTGAAGGGAAGGGGGCAGTGCAAAGCAGACAAACTAGGCGGCCTATTGCACAGAGACAGCCAGCAGCCCAGAACGTCTGATCTCCTCTTGATTTCAAAGTGGAGGCATAGATGAGCTAAAAAAATATATTAAAACAAAGTGCAAGAACTGGTGCTTCTTTTTATCTACAAAGGCTGCAGGGAAGTCAGTAGTAGGGAGGGTGAGTAGCAGATAATCAAAAATCCCTAAACAGAGTTGGTTCCTGTAAAACAAAGATATAAACCTGCTCAGCCACACACAACAACACACACACAGAGAGAGGGAAGAAAGCAAACTAGGAAGGAGCTAAAGTAAACTTGGGAGCCTTTCCTTCAGCATAACAACTCCCTAGGCAAATCAGCAGAAGTTGAGACATCCTGCAACCCAAGGAACACAATGTAATTGCTGATGTGCAATACACAGGATTGTTTGTAAGCTATCCATTGCTACCCTACCCACTAAAATAACCCAGACACCCTTCATTCATATTCATTTGTAAGTTAAAGAGCTTTGCAGCCATTGTTTTATAGATAGATACACCCCCCCCACACACACACCCTTAATAGCCAACACATCTTGGGCAAGCACTATGGAGAAGCAGTAAGTCTGGAGGCAGGCCTTAAACAAAGCTGAAAAGGGGCCTATTAATTAACGAGATGTGCCTTAACAGCCTCCATTTATATCCCAATAGATTCCTTTGCTGCGGGAGGTGAAAGGGCTCAGCGCCCTATTGTGATTCCAAGTGCATCAAGAATGCAAGCTAGGGACTTTTCATTCGCAGGCAGACCTCTGGCCCCAGTCCATGAATTGTCCCATTGAGGGAGGCTTCAATAGCCCTCCACAGTCTCCCTACTGTACAGCCAAAATAACCAGATTCCCAGCTGAGACTGCAGATGTGCCCTTTTTACCCATTACCTCAATAACAACACACAGGGATTTTTCTGCAGGTCTGATGTGCATAGCATTAAACATCCCACACTTCCCTCCCAGAATAAACTCACATATGGGTACCAAAATACCAACACAACCACCGATTCACCCATCAGCATTACACATCCAGAACTCTCGCATATAAGGAACAACAATCAAGGCTTCCTTGATTGGATCCTGCAGAGTCCTGTATACTGGGCAGCCTCATCTATGCTATGAACGAATGAATCGTTATTTGCGCCAGCCTTCGGCCATAGCAATAAAACAACAATACGATATACAAAGAATGGAAATAAAAAGTCAATTATATAAAATAAATGTTAGGGTTTTGAATCAATAGTCAAATAGAGGCTCTTATTCTGATTGCCCCAGCTAAAAACCTTGCAACCTTTGCTGTCACCTGCTCATCTTGATCTGCCAAGAGAAAGGACAAAGTGGCAGTGGTTGGGTGACCCGGGATGGACAATAAAAGAGGGGTGATAATCTCATTCCTCAAGTCTTTATAAAGAGTGCAAGCCAGAAGGGCATGCACCACCGATTTGGTACTGCCATCTCCACAGGGACATAAGCGTTTTTCGTGTGGAATCTGTTGGAATCGTCCCTCAAGTACAGCTGAGGGCGATACATTCAATCTTGTGAGAGTAAAAGCACGTCTATATTTTATAATTGCTAGGTTATGCAGATCGGGTGCCAGAGAGTTGAAATTGGAAGGTGGAAAATAGTCATACCATGGGCAAAATTTCCTTATTGTGGCCAAGTTGTTCTGACACTCGATATCATTTAGGTGCTGACAAATGAGACTGTTTGCTTTACTAAAACCCAAAGTGAGTACAGTGGTACCTCAGGTTACAGACTCTTCAGGTTATAGACTCCGCTAACCCAGAAATAGTACCTCGGGTTAAGAACTTTGCTTCAGGATGAGAACAGAAATCGTGCTCCGGCAGCGCAGCAGAAGCAGGAGGCCCCATTAGCTAAAGTGGTGCTTCAAGTTAAGAACAGTTTCAGGTTAAGAATGGACCTCCAGAACGAATTAAGTTCTTAACCCGAGGTACCACTGTAGCAGTTGTGGTGATAAACCACAAGAGTGAAGTTTTTGATAGACAATTTTAGTCCAGGCGCTCTTGTGACAATCTTGCAGCACTAGGGATATTAGACCGGGGGAATTTGAGTTTAGGCATCTAAGAGGGACAGTACCCATGTAGCTCTGGTATTCACATGCTCAAACTATCTTGCCAGGAGTCACGAGGAGGGATGCCAATGGCCAAGGTCCACCATTACAGTGGCACCGGAACTAGTCACGAAATGGCACCGGAACCAGTCACGAAATGGCACCGGAACCAGCCACAAAATGGCGGCGGCACAGAGATGGAGCCCGTCGTAAAATGGCCATGCAAGTAACTGAGCTGAGTAGGCCACTCTTCCTGCAGGGTATTGTGCAGCAGGTAATGGCAGTCCACTGGCGATCCTTGCAGCCACGCACAATGACAGCCTGACCCACACCTCACAGGTTTGTTGTGAAGATAAAATGGAGAAGGGAGAACCCTTCCCCACAAAGGAAAGAGGCTGCTGTGGTGGGTTCCCTGGCAGCAACTCTTAGGATTCCACTATGTTGCATGTGCAGAGGGCCCCTTTTCAGACTACACCACAGCACAACTAGAGTACTGTATAGTGTTTATGAGCAGCATACGAGACAGGGTAGTGTGCTGGTTTAGACGGACAGATTTGAATTTGAACCAGACCCAGGTTCAATTTCCAAAATTAAGCTGACTCTGAACCAGTCACCCTGCTCTTGGCCTCAGCTGCTTCTCAGAGCTGTTGCAGAGCAGATCTAGAGGAGGGTCCCAAGTTGATCAAGGTCAGGGAAGAACCCATAACGATTTGAGCCAGGTCTGCCTGCCAAGAGAAGAAACGACTGTGCTAAAAAGGTATAATAATGTGAGCAGCAGTCAGTTCTTCCAACCCACAAGCACTATTTAACTGGGGAAGATAAGGAAAGCAACAGCAATTAGCCTATATGGAAAAGGAGCAACTTCCACCATCTCCAATGAAGATAGTAAATGGATGTGGCTTTGGTCCTGTTTATAGGAGGCTACACCTCTAATCACTTAATATATTAGTAAATATGGATTGTAGAATACACACACACACAGGCTGAAGTGGAAATTGGGGTGTGCAGGGTGTTGGGGGAGGGATAGTACCTCTGGTGGGGATACGCCATGCTCTTCTGAGGTAGTTTGTTCATCTTTGGTCCTCACCCTGCACTCAGCTCTCAGCTGTGGCTCCTAGAAGCTGTCAGCAGGCGACAGCAGCCACACCCCAGGAATGGCTTTGACTGGCTAGCTAAAACCAGGAGAGGGTAGCCGGTCTTGGGGAAGGGACTTAACCTGCATGCAAAAGACAGGCTCTGGCAGATTGAGCGGACGAGACCATTAGTGGGGCCAACAGTCATGAAGGCAGTTTCTGCAAGTGCTGAAGTGAGGGGCAGATGAGGCTCGTTAACCTGGGAAGGCAGACCATCTAGAAGAAGGAAAACTGACCTTAAACCTCTGCTGCCTTGCAAGACGAGGGCCAGTGTGATGTAGTGGTTAAGAGCGGCAGTCACGTAATCTGGGGAACAGGGGTCACGTCTCCGGTCCTCCACATGCAGCTGCTGGGTGACCTTGGGCCAGTCACACTTCTTTGAAGTCTCTCAGCCCCACTCACCTCACAGAGTGTTTGTTGTGGGGGAGGAAGGGAAAGGAGATTGTTAGCCGCTTTGAGACTCCTGAAGGGGAGTGAAAGGCGGGATATCAAATCCAAACTCTTCTTCTTCTTCTTCTACACAAATCCCTGAGATGGCTGGATGCTGCCTTGTACACCTCCTTCCAGCAAATTCTGCAGCCAAGCTGGTGCCAAATGTATTGGGAAACATCAGCAAAGCCAAAAGGGGAGCCTTGTCATCTGGGCAGCCCAGGACGTCCATACGCACGGCCCAGGCTTGTGCCCCAGGGAGATCATTGTGATGCTGCTAACACAGTGGTTTGACCTCACCCCTGGAGGCGCACTCCATTGTCTCTCGAGACAAGATGCCGGCCAGAAGTGGCACTTCTAGATCTCTGTGGTATTTGTGCACAACTTTATATTGCTAGTCTATCTCATGTATTCATGATAGGTTTGTTAGCAAACAAGCATATAAGTGGTTTACTATAACTAGGAGTGGAAATACTGTGACGCGTGGGGAGAGTTATCCATCGTATTATGATTTTTTAAAAAACCTATTCCCTTTTACCAGAAATTGCCAACTACCTTCCAGGCATTTTTACTCAGCAGTAAGTCCCAACTCCCAACTAAGTACAGTGGTACCTCGGGTTAAGTACTTAATTCGTTCCGGAGGTCCGTACTTAACCTGAAACTGTTCTTAACCTGAAGCACCACCACTTTAGCTAATGGGGCTTCCTGCTGCCACTGCGCCACTGGAGCACGATTTCTGTTCTCATCCTGAAGCAAAGTTCTTAACCCGAGGTACTATTTCTGGGTTAGCAGAGTCTGTAACCTGAAGCATCTGTAACCCGAGGTACCACTGTATGTGAGTTTAGGATTGCACTGTTATTACTGCAATGCCCCTGTA